CAGGGGGTCGTAGCGGTTTCGTGATTCCCTTGGGCTAAATTAAGGTGAAACGACACCAGGCGATCAATTAAATGCTTTATTTATGGAACACGCAACTTAAACTTGGAAAGCGTAATAATAGGTGGCGTGGATTCTATTGAGGCATTTATAAGAAGAAAAGGAAAGAGAGGAAAAGGAAAGAGAGAGAGAGAGAGATCACCACCCTTGGATCCCGCGATGATGATGACGGACGTGGCAATGCTCCGGTGATGGGCGCGTGTACGGCTCCTTGGAGTTGTGCCTTTTATAGCCTAGTCCCCGCCTCTCGGGGAGTTATGTAGCTCCTGATCCTTTGTGCAGGCGCCATTTGGGGGGTGGTCGTGAGCCCCTTCCTCAAATAAACTCTGTATGACCTCTGGCCATACATGGTGCGTTGTCATGCCAGGCCTATCAGAACATGGAACTGCGCGCCCTCCAGCACTCCTTCCGCGTCCTGAGTTATCCGACCTCTCGTTTAAGGTTTATTGCTGCTGTGCAGACCGTGACTTGTTTTACCACAATGTTTGAGACATTAACTCTTTCAGTCTCTCACAGGTGGCTGACCGGGATTCTGAATATCCTTTATAGTGAGAAAGGATCTCTGATAGCTCCCATTTTTGGTATAGTTCATGGTGATGCTGAGTTGGAAATAAAGGTTCAATATAGAATGTTCCTCTGTAGAAGTTATTTTGTTTTATTATTGTAATTTCATGAAAAACACGGGTAAGGGAGTGAATATGGTGATTCTTAATATTTTATATGTCCACTGAAGGATTTTCTCAAAGCAAAAGAAAGATAATTTTCTATCAAGGACTTTCCTCCCACAAAAAAAAAAAAAAATTGTTAATAGCTGGAGGCAACAGAGCTTTACAGACAAAAAAGCTTTATTTTGACAGATTAATTTTCTCACTCCTTTCCCTGTTTTCTCCCCTGTCCCACTGGCAGGGAGGGAGGGAGGGAGCCACCAGCTCTCTGGGTGCTTGCCTGCTAGCAAGGGCCAATGCACCACAGCATCTGACCCAGCTGGGAATGTAAGACAACTATAAACATAAACCGTTGGATAGAACAGGCAGCCATTATTTGGTGGGTCTAGAAAAATGTAAGTACTGAGTTGAAATTATTATGGAGGATTTGGGAAGGGTTGAGATTTGGTGGTGGTTTGCATGTTTCAAGAGGCTGAATACATTGGCATTCTGATATTTAGGAAGCACAGACTCTTTAGCATCTATTCAGCATCTACAACACTAAATAAAATAGGGCCAGAGACTGACCGTTTGTCCTAAATCCAGCTAGCACAGACTTGCTCATATATATGCTGCCTAAGACTGGCCTCCACTAGGCTAGGAGGAGCCTAAGTGGCTGGGAGAAGCCTAGTGGAGGCAATATGCATGTCCTTCCTACTTAACACTCAAGCTGTGTTGAGAGTGTCCTGAGCGCCTCAGGTGGTACTGCTGTGACCCTAAAACTTAATTATTATTTTGGGGAGTATTTCAGCTCAATGTGTCTGAAGTAATATGAGGGATGTGTTGCAGCCCATCAAAAGTTGTGTTTTAGTAGCATGAAACTGAAGGGCTGATGAATGACGTACTGTGGAGTATGACACAGAGGTACATTGGATGTGTTTGAGATGCAGAGATTGCTGGGACAGTGTTGGAGGGACGTTTAGGGTGGAGGAAACGAAACCTGGCACAGTCATATCCATACTGACTTGCTGGGGGTTATGTCTGGCATTAAACATCCTCAAAGCCAGGCCTGGATGTTGTCCTGGAGAGAGTTAGTTTGGATTGTCCAAAACAGAGCTAAGAAATAAACGAGCATTGAAGCGATGTAAGCGATTGAGCTTCTAGTGCTTGGGTTCATTTTACATCCCTCTTTTTTGAGCAATATAAACAACTTAGATTCTACAGTTACTGTTTGCAGCCAAAACTTTCTAAATTTCAACAGGAAACAGATATTAGATCTGAATTTTACATAACAATGTGGGATTGACGATAGAGCAGCAGTGGCCACATTAATTATAATCCATTTTTGTAATTAAATTTGGGTTATTAAGACATCAATCTGCATAGGTTAAGAAGAATCCAGATGTCGAATCTGGATTGTTACCAAATAGGGTGCCTGTAGGCACAGCTGTTAGCCCACAAATCTTTGCAGTCCTCAGACATGACTTTCCTGTCATTTGCGCTGCCTCTAGTCTCTGCACCTCATGTGTTTACCCCGCAGTCTCACATAAGGGACTAGGCTTGATGCTTACTGTCCCAATGGTTTCATCTGGGATAGAGTTAATTTTCCTCCTAGTAGCTGGTACAGTGCTGTGTTTTGGATTTAGGATGAGAACAAAGTTGATAACGCACCGATGTTTTAGTTGTTGCTAGGTAATGCTTACACTAGTCAAGGACTTCTCAGCTTCCCATGCTCTACCGACTGAGAAGGCTGGAGGTGCACAAGAAGCTGGGAGGGGGCACAGCCAGGACAGCTGACCCAAACTGGCCAAAGGGACATTCCATACCATGTGCCGTCATGCTCAGTACATAAACTGGGGAAAGCTGGCCGGGGGGGCCGGCTGCTCGGGGACTGGCTGGGCATCGGTC